ATGGGCACCTTGATATTCCAGATTAAGGACAGTGTCTTTAGTCTCATTCACTATACAGGAACTCAATAAAGTGGGCGGTTATATTTGTATGCCTGTATGTTAATTCCAAACATCCCAGAAAGGATGACCAACATTCAAACATTTGGGATGTTTATTGGCTCCAAACTATATACTTTAATAAACATTTTCACAGACTCAAAGTGCACTCTTATTACTCTGGGGAATTCTCATTGTAAACACTGTAGGATACATAAGCTGATAAATTCCACATTGGAGCAGGGGTCAAGTCAGCTTATTTCTGTGTGCGTGCTTTGTTGTTCTCAAGAGTATCATATTACAGTATCACATAAAGAGTCTAATGACACAAGCAGTGATTTGTTGTTTTATTTTCAGAGGATTTCTACTTCAGGCATTGACAGTAAAATAAACATCAAATGTTTAGCAGTTCAAACTCTGAAGAAAAGTACTTTGAAACTTTGTGACCAATAATAAAGAAAAGAAGGGCACAGCTAATCTACCCCCTGAAACCTCTTGTTGACAATGCTTCATGTCATGGCAATGTGCAACTCACAAATACCCGTGTCCTGCAAACACCAAACAAATGTGGGGTCTTAAAATTCATTTTGGTATTAAAGGCATCTTGCTATAGAGGGCATTTGGACACAGTCATAAGAGTGCCCTTAATGTCGAGGTTCTATTGTAATTGCTTTATGGATTATGTAAAACACTATATAATGTTCAAATTAACAGTGCTTGCACAATAAGCAGCTTGACATCAAATGACTTATCCCTATGCCTTTAATGAAAATGACTTCATTAGCTTTTCATGCTAATGTTCAAGTACTGTTTTCATTTAGCTTAACATTACCCAATTTTGAAACATATTAACAGATAATCTTCATCTATACATAAAAGTTCCATAATTGTAATGGACAGAAACTTATGTATCACCTGCTGTTTTACTAAAGCTCATGCAGTCATTCCAATACTTCCCTAACTATGGTTAGTCACCTCTTACCTGGCCTTTTACCAGATTTGGGGGACCTGGTTCAAATAAAACTAAGAAGCTCTTTTAACAATTCTCTGACTATAGTAGTTTAACACATATTTCATTACATATCAAATCAAAGTTAAAAATTGAGTCAAAAATATTTAAACAAAGTAAGTAGAAATACTGATAATATTATCCTATTATGCTATTCCAGATTGTTAATTAAACTGATGGAAAAAGTAAAGGTACCAACATTGATGTAAAATGTTTCAAAGATTAATAATGATAAACGTGCTCTTCTAACTACAGTGAAAACAAAGCTATCATGTACATATTTAAGTTTCCACATCTAATATTATTTATTTTGGGCTCAAATCTCTCAAAATGAACTTTCCATAACTTGTATAATTTTAAATACTATTATTTCTAATTATTTCCATAAGAACTAAGTTAAAAAGTTCATTAAAAACCAGCAAAGTATTTCAAGTAGATACTCCCTTTTATGATCCACTCTTCCACAAATGCAAGTTACTTTGTAAATTATACAATTCAAAAACACCTTCAAAAATATAATGATTATGTATATATTTACAATTGGTTCTATACCAGTTGACTCCATATAGTTTTCATGCTTTGTAAATGATGTAAACATAGTGTTCCTAGGATATTCAATTGGATTTTCAGTTGCATGAACACAGAGACTCCTCCTAAGTTCACTCTGATCAATTGGAGGTAGCTTACAAATTATAGAAGTACAGTTTTTCTTGTTCATTTGCTATCTAAAATGTATGAGAAACAATAATAAACAATTGAACTGAATATATCTTCATAACAAAATATAAAAATCATCAGAAACAACTTCAAAACCAATAAAAATTCAATTGATGATATTTTTCTCCAATAACTTGTGGGATCAAACAGAGACATCTCACTCTGTCCAGCACATCTATCCACTTGCACATAGTTGTATGAGTTACCGTAAATATCTATTTATTTGGTCCAAATATTGCCTCAGCACATCTTACATTCTGAAGTAATTATTGTTTGTCACTCTTGGATTACTGGAAGTAAAAAAAAAGAGCCACAGGAAAAGGAATAAACATGATATTAAATATAGATAGATTTTCAAATGCTGTATTATATAATTCCACAGCGATAAAGCATGTATTTCTGCAAAGATTTATATGTGAAGAAGCAAATAAAATGATTTATCATGTTGTGTTTATATACTCCATTTCATCCCAAATGAAGAGCAATCTCACTTTAGGTAAAGGCATTTTTTAAAAAACACATGTATCCACAAATTACAGATGATCATAAGTTCTATCTTTGTTTGTTCATTATGTAATGTGGTTAATTAAATGGCAATGGTATTCACTCACACATGCATGTACAATTAATAATCAACATAACAATACACCACTCACAACACAAAGGCCAATCAGTTGTTAGAATTGATCTACACACCATACACAGACACACTGATCTTCCCTAGTATGTGAGGCCATAAAATCTACTGTGCACCTTCATGTGCTCTCACCCCCCTTATAGAAGCGATTATCTCACTGATCTCCATATTTAAAAGTTGATAATTTATAAATAACTTGACATCTCTATTGAAGTTATTTAAAGATTGTGATTTCAAGCACATTAATAAATTGATGCAAAGTAGGGAAAACACTTACACTCTGCAAAATTTAACAAGTGAGCCTACATGTGATGTGGTCCAATACAAAAAGAAAAAATAAGGATATGGCTAAATATAAGTTATTTCTCTTATTTAATAAAAAGCAGCAAAGTGACTATAGTACTACTAGTAGTAAAAGAAAAGTGACTTTATCCACTCAGGTCAAAAATTAAATAATTTACAAATACCTCTATTAATAAGTGTTTTATGTCTTTAAATTTCAAATCCATACAACTAGCCAAACAATAATATAATCTATATTAGTATATTATTATTAATACTAAGTAATAGTAACACTAGTGATTGTAATAATACTAGACAGCTGTTAGAAAAATAACAGGTTTTTATTAGTTTCTAGTAAAATTATAATTTTTAATATCGGACAAGTTAAAATAAAATACTTGATTTAAAGTAAAACAAAATATATTTCAAATACCGTTGCCAACGTACCCCAAACGTAAACAACACTCTCAACATGTGTTACTAAGAGAAAAAAAATCAATAATCTAAATTTATATAAAATGTTTTTTTATAACTTGTTAGAACAATTTTAAACTATAAAATCTATGTAACAAAAAATGATACAAAAATAATTATTTCAATAACATACACCATACAGAGCTAAACTTAACAGTTTGAAGATTTTAGATTTATTTAACTAAACGTTATGATATTAATTAAAAAGTTTAAAGGTGTTTTGGAATAATAAAATGTACATATAAAGTTAAAAAGCAAGATTGGAAATGAATTTATAGAGAAGTAACATATTATTATATGCGTTTATAATAATATTTGTTTATTAACGATATTTTTGTATTTTTTCGACTAAACTAAACTACCCTTTTGTAAGAGTCATCCTATTCTAATGTAGGAAATATTGAAAATGTTTGTTTGTTTTTGATTATGC